CCCGGTCCCTACTCTCCCCCCCCCCCCCCCCCTCCCTCTCCCCCACACACCAACACACCCTCTCTCTCTCTCTCTCTCTCTCTCTCTAAAAGCGTCCTTGAAGAGACAGAGAATCAATGTGGCCGAAGTGAAAGGCGCGGTCTGTCAATGTAACAGGATAGTGACAAACCCTGAGAAAGACAGAAGTCAGCTCTGGCCCACGTCCCAGCGGTTGGAGAGCACAGATATTTAAAGGAGATCGGTAGCTAATAACTGTTTTATGAACAGTTCCTCTGTTGAGGCCTTGGCTTGTCTCTGCGGCCTGGAGCTGATTAATCTCACACTGATGGCGCTGGATGGTATTGGTATTGAAAAAAAAACAAAACAACAACAACAACAAACAAGAAAAAGAAAACAGATTTTCCTAGAATTCAAGATAAACATTTCAGCAAAATGAAAAATTCAGTTATAGTCATAGAGACTGTTGTGGTTGGGGGAAGGGACGGGGGAGGGGAGGGGGGTTGGGGTGAGGCACCAGGGAGCTGTGAGGTGAACCTGCAGTACAGGTCTGTGTAGAAACTGTTTTCCCAGGACAGAGGGACTGTTTTAGTTACACATCAGTCTGTTGGTGTCACCGGGGGGAAGTCTGTTGTTGGAGAATCACATCATCACCTCAGACACTCAGTTCCTCCATTTCAGCTCAGAGGAACATACAGATATAAAGAGCCTGAAAGAGACATTACCTCCTGTTCTATTTTCTTGTGTCAGCTAATATAAAACCTCCATTCATTATTGATGTGAAGGAAATGTGAATTTCTCTGCTTTTCATTATTCAAGGGCAAATACAGGCGCCTCACATGTCAGACGCTGAGGCCTGAAGTCGACATTTTCCGTGGTGCTAAATAAATATTTATTAAAAATGTATTTCAAATTTGTTTATCAAAATATTCCAATGGATTTTTTCCCTTTTTCACTTGATCCAATTTTATCTAAATAAATGAAAACTGTACCATTAGTACACCTCCGCAACTCATCTTTCATTCCTCTCTACGCTGATGACAGTACGATCTCTATGAAAACCTTCAATGCGTTTTAACATGCTGCTCATCCATGCGCTGTTTTCATTTTAAATGGACTCCACATTGCCAAGCTACTTTGCATGTTACTGCCACCTACAGTTTATTAACTGAATAGCATGAGCTATTGTATTATCGACAGCATTTGCTGGAATTTTCATATTCATATAAAAGAAGAATAATTGCGTTCTGTCTGCAGTGATCAGGAAGTATCTGGTGTGTACTTTTTAGAAATAACATTTAATCCAAAAAGTTTTTGTCTACTCTGTTGTCTGTTGTTACAGTCTGTTGATGTTGTTACAGCATTAAAATAAGATTTTAAAAAACTGGTAGAACTTTTGTCATTTTTCAACACCTGACTGTTCTTCTGACCTCTGTGTCTCCTTTGTCTATCATTAGTTGGACAACCTGGACGAGCAGGCTGCACAGATTAGAAGAGAACTTGATGGTCGTCTTCAGATGGCAGACCAGATTGCCAGGGTGAGTCAAAGTCTGCAGGGGACTCAAGTACTCAGTAATATGCTTTGTTGTAAACTAAATATGCCAGTAATATGGTGCAACATCCTGCTGAGAAACGCCACCACCAAAAATAAAATAAAACCCATCTTTGCCAAAAATAGATTCTACAAACAAATGAAATATTCTCTTGTGCACAAGGGTCGACTTATGACTCCTGGTTTCATGTCTGCTTGTGCTCCTTCACCAGGCTGGTAAGTTTCCCAAATTTGTGTCCAAAGAGATGGAAGCCATGTACATCGAGGAGCTGAAATCTTCGGTGAATCAGCTGATGGCTAATCTGGAGAGCATGCCCGTCTCCAAGGGTGGAGAGTTTAAACTGCAGAAGCTGAAACGGGGACATAATACCTCCATTATCGACATGGGCCAGGAGGACGAGAACACTCTGTCCAAGTCTGATGTGGTTCTGTCCTTCACTCTGGAGGTAGGGATGACACTGCACAAAACACTCCGACAATTCGGTTTTTCTCCAGTGCTTTAACAAGTCTTTGATTTGGCATGTGCCGGTCAGCTACTGTCTTTTTGGTGGGAATGTGTTTATTCACAGGTTAGCTTCCTGTACCAACCCAATTTGCGGAAATGCAAATCTGTTATTTGGTACTGCACTACTACTAAATTTATACAGTTCATAAAAAGACTTGGGAAGTCAAGGTCAGTGATAGAAACTGCCCAGAGCTGATGTTGTATCAGAGACTGTGTCCTGCCACTGGACTAAAGCAGGGGTCACCAACATGGTGCCTGGGGGCCCCTGGTAGCCCCCATGGACTACCTAAGGTGCCCATAGGGTACGTTCTATAAATAAAACTAGTCAGCAGTTGTACTTTTATGATTCTCTTTGGATCAGTTACACAATGATGTTCAAATGACCCAGAAATGATGATTTTTAAAAATTAAATATATATAATATATAAAGACAAATTGTGAAGAACTAGAGTCCTATTATAACTGTTCAACATGGGGGGCGGGGAGCAGTCAGCCAACAGTGGGACAGTGGACGGATGCAGCTCAGGTTCTCAAATCAACAACAGTGAAGAAACATTCCTTCAACAAAACTGCGAAACCAATAAACCAGGATCCAACCAGCAGAGACAGTCATTCAGCACCGGGCTAAATATAGGAACAGAACACAGACCTGTTCAGGGGTGTTGAGCAGACGCTGTGTGAAGAACAGACTGACACAAACGCACACACACGCACATACTACACACAAACACACACCAGCTCTACACAGACTCATTTACCTTCCCTTTTAACGAGGGCTGTGAGTCACCCTCGTCATCACTGTGTCAGATTTGAACAGTTTCACTCCATTTGTTTTGTTTGTTATTCCCTTTGTTTTTTCCCCCGTCATAGATTTAAGATTGAAAGAAAGAATGCTAACGTTTACTGCCTGATTGAGGACAGGCCAGTTTATATACGGGATCATGTGTGATTAGAAGACATTATTACCTTTTTTTTAATTTACTTTTTCTATAAAATGCATCTGTAATTGAGATAAAACAGGTTCCAAACGACTGAGTTTTTACTGTGGTTCCCAGGTGGTGATCATGGAAGTGCAGGGGCTGAAGTCTCTGGCACCAAACCGAATTGTTTACTGCACCATGGAGGTGGAGGGTGGGGAGAAGCTTCAGACTGATCAGGCAGAAGCCTCCAAGCCAACGTAAGGACAAAACTACACTGGGTTCACTCTACACACTCCTAATTTATAATTTTTTAAATCCTAATTTTTTTTACCATTAATGTTTTCGTCAGGAAATTTTGATGAAAATGTATTTTACATTTATTTACTTTTAGACTGAACCTGAGATGTCTTGTAGGTAATAACAAATGATGTCATCGACGTCGTTACCTGCGAAAATGCCTTTTGACAAAATGGAAGCAATTGTGAGCTTTAGAATCCATTTTGTCGTCTTTCTTAAATGATGTGCATTGTGTGAAGATAGGGAGGGAATTTGACGGGTCCCCACTGAGGGAGAGGGTATTTTGAGCTTCAGGATATGGTTTGGAATTAGGATTAAAATTATGGTGAGATTGAGGTGAGTTATTGTATATTATAGCTTTATATTGATATGTGTGTGTGTTGTCAACATGAGCACACACACAGCTGATACATTCCTGACTCCATAAACAGCTGCAGGTTATTTGCATACAGTAATTGCTTGCACATGGTGAATGTTCTCAGACGGACGATTGACTTTGCTTTTGTATAATCAAACTTTCCTGACATGAAATATTAATTCTGGGTTGATATAGTTGATGTTTCCAAGGGAAAACGTCTCTGTTATTGTCTGGTAAATCCTGCTGTTGATTTGTTTTTATTCGATGCCGACGGGACGCGGCGAGGCTTTTGTACGTTTCAGAGAATGAGCTGCGAGAGCTCCACACGGCCGTGTCCATTAATAGACCTTAGATTGATCCACAAGGTCACCTTCATGCCAGCACAATACCTCTCTCTGAAATCCCCACAGCACAACAGCGCGGCTCCTTACCGTCCGTTGGCAGTTTCTCTGCTCTCAGCGTGCTTCAGCTGTCTTCATTATTGTTAAATTTAATTAATTATGAATGTTTGAGGTAGTGGCGAAAAAAACTGCTTTCCATTGCTGGAAATTGACATGCTGTCCTAAATACAGAAAGATATAAATAGCAGTTGAGAGAAAGAGAGAGGGGGAGAAGGGGTGAGAAAGAGAGAGAGAGAGAGAGAGAGGATGTAGCATCCACAGAGGATTCAGGACATTCATGTTTTCCCTCTAATCTACATACGACATATGCTCCTTCTCTCTAATCTACATACGACATATGCTCCTATAGGAAATGTTGTATAATATTATTATATAATAATGTAATATTCTTATAGTGAGCTGCCTTTTCAGCTGAAGGTTTATGAAGGTTGGTCATCAGTCACTTGTGATTTGCTCGGAGAGAAATGACTCACTTTTTTTTTCCATCGCACAATATTTAACATTCACACTCCTGTGAAGTGAACTTGTTTTTCACCTTCTTTTTTCCCTTTTACTTCATCGCCTACATGAACTGATTACAACGTTGAAGTTAAAGCTGGCATTTTGAGAAGAATGAAATGTTTACAAAAATCCAATAGTGTCAAGTCATTTAGCAGCTTGAAATGAGCTGTTTGTCCTGACCTTTAGCTCAGCAGTTTCGCGTCATAAAAGTTAAAAAAACAACAACAATAAGTTAATATCAGAGGTGGGAAGTAATGAATTACATTTTTTCACGTTACTGTATTTGTGATTCATTTGTAATTTTTAAGTTCTTTTGGGAATTGGTCATTTTACTTTTACTACATTTTGACTCGTGTATTTTACTTCGCAACATTTTAAAGGAAACCGGTTACTGAAAGAAAATTAAGTTCAATCACTCAATCACTATGTTAATGAGGCCACAGGAAACGTTGGTCAAGAGACAGACTCTAGTCCGTCATTGGATGATGGCTGGTGCCGAACAAAAACTGGGAAGCTCCCGTGGAGCAGAGAACCCAGAAAGGGAAGGAAATCTTTGGCGATATCTCAGCGAGCTCTTTATTTTCAAATTCGAACGAGGTAATAACTTTATCGCGCGAAGCAAAACGAGCCTTCCCCGGCGGACAGAGCTGTCGCGATTAAAACGTTCACGTCAAACCTGCGAACGCATGTAGCGGTAAGTAGAGTAAATGTGTTTTGGCTGTGTTTCCCAAACGTTATATTAAATGTTTGGTTAAAACCTCCTAAATCCTCCGTTAATTGGCAAAACGCGCCTTAATTATATCGATTATTTTCGCCTAGCTTAGCATCCATCCTAGCTAACGTTTCAGTGACGTAAGCAGTACCGGAGCACAGTCAAACATTATAATAATATAAGTGATTTTGAATGCAGTTGGTCTCTAATGAAATGATCTTAAATTATGTATAATACACTAGACTTGTTGTAGCCTAGACGAGCGAGTTTTCAATATATTTGCTTGTTTTTCTTTTCAACAGATATTGTATTTTTTATATATACTGTACTAAACTACAACCGTTACACAGCATATACTGTTGTCAACAAACGGCGGGAGAAAAAAACGGCCATATTTTTCATGTTGAAATGTCTGTGTTACAGACACGACAGACAGGACAGGTTCTAATTTCACACGTGGTAACAAATGGGTTTTTGTTTGTTGTTATGTAAATAGCCAGTTACACTCTTTAAAAAAATTATGAGGGGTTTTTATCACGTGTTTGTATGTGAACTAAAAAAAAAGAGGGGTTTTTATCATGTGTTTGTATGTGACGTTTACTGAACATTTTTTTAAATTATGGGGTTTTTATCACGTGTTTGTATGTGACGTTTACTGAACATCAAACCGTGGGTTTCAGCTAATATCAGGGTTTGGTTTGAAACAGACTGGAAAGAAATGAGACTTCAGATTAATCTGTAAATTTAAAATATATATACGTATATGTATATATATATACACACACACACACACTATGCTTGCCGGTGTTGCAGTAATTACTACACATGAAGTCATTGTGAGTACAGGGGGAGTACAGTGCTAACGTACTGTCGGGGGAGCTAACCTCTGGGGTGTGCTGTTGTGTTTTTCAGATGGGGGACTCAGGGGGACTTCACCACCACACACCCTCTGCCTGCTGTCAAGGTGAAGCTGTTTACAGAGAGCACGGGGGTGCTGGCACTGGAGGACAAAGAACTGGGCAGGGTAACACCTCTTGTCCAAATATTTTCTTGTTGTTGCCAACACACACACACACACACACTATGCTTGTCGGTGTTGCAGTAATTACTACACATGAAGTCATTGTGAGTACAGGGGGAGTACAGTGCTAACGTACTGTCGGGGGAGCTAACCTCTGGGGTGTGCTGTTGTGTTTTTCAGATGGGGGACTCAGGGGGACTTCACCACCACACACCCTCTGCCTGCTGTCAAGGTGAAGCTGTTTACAGAGAGCACGGGGGTGCTGGCACTGGAGGACAAAGAACTGGGCAGGGTAACCCCTCTTGTCCAAATATTTTCAGCGTATTCTTCACAAAAACTATATAATGCAGTAATGGCAGTAATCATCTGTAGCTGATGTAAAACTCTGTTTTTTTTACCAGGTGTATATTTAGAACAGAGTTTTGTGTGTGTGTGTGTATATATATATACACACACACACACAAAACTCTATTCTAAATATACACCTGGTAAAAAAAACAGAGTTTTACATCAGCTAAAGATGATTACTGCCATTACTGCATTATATAGTTTTTGTGAAGAATACGCTGAAAATACACACATCGTGACTTAGTGTCAGTGGGGAGTAGAAACATTTGTCCTCTCCTTTACTCTGCTGAGATGTTTGTCTGCAATGTCACTGTGATAAATGGGTGAAGGAAGGTGATATTGCTGGTTCACATCACTATCCTCCTGTAGTGGCAGTGACCTTGGCTGCACAGAGGCGCTGCCGTCCTACACTGCAGCAGCTCCAGGAGCAGAGTGAGCTTCCTGAAAGCCGAGGAGAGATAAGAGCAGAGCAAAGTGTCGTAATGATTCTCAAAATGGACCGGTGTTGTTCCTTCGGATTCGGGAATCTTAAATATCACACTAGATGACATCACAGAGCAGTAATTATGGCGGTGGCTCTGTGTTTCTGCAGGTTGTCCTTCACCCGACTCCCAACAGCCCCAAGCAGTCGGAGCTTCACAAGATGACTGTAACCAAGGCCTGTCCTGACCAAGATCTGAAGATTAAACTGGCCATACGCATGGACAAGCCCCAGAACATGAAACACTGCGGGTGAGAGAGATGGGGGGAGGCGTTGAAGAGGGGGGGACGCTGCTGTGGGAAACCTTGCAGTGACATTCACATGTGCCTTTCATTTTCCCCGTGTCTTCCTTTCATACCACTCTAGGCTTCTTGGCCTCATTTCCAGTCACGTTGTATGGAAAAACACTGTACAGTGCACTACTCCCCCTAGTGGACATTGGTGTGCAGTTTAGACGTTTTGTAATTAGAGAGTGAAAACAAGCTCTGAAAATACTGAAGGCAACATTAATCATACTCCACTTATGTAACCATGGTTCTGTTGCCTGACTAAAAAAACAAAACAAACTGGATCCTTGTCAGTTTAGTGAACACTTGTTCTATTTCATGTCATACATATTGATCTGTGCTCTTTTTAACCCAGGGCTGGTTCTTCTCCATGTTTGTGTACAATGTTCTGACAGGTATCTGTGGGCTTTTGGGAAGAATGTGTGGAAGCGCTGGAAGAAGCGTTTCTTTGTTCTGGTGCAGGTACGTTTTTCTTTCACATTAATACGACATGAACCTGAGTGAAGACGCAGTTTCATAGGTTCAACTAATAATAATGTCAAATACTGTGGACCTTCATTTATTCTATTCTATACTATCTAATGTAAAATAAAGCTTTCTCACTCTGTTGATTATAGAATGGTGGAGGTGCGAATCAGTAGAAAAAGGTTTAGGATGAGCTGGACTCTCCTAAATGTTGGGAAAATACTTGACTCTGTTTACATTATGTTTTAAGGTGTTATGTTTATAACAATATGTAGGAATTACAGGGACAAAGAACGAACAGTTGTTGTCTTTCTCCTCACTACTCTGAACCTGGTGTTAATTACATTTAAACCTTTGTTCTGTAGGTGAGTCAGTACACGTTTGCCATGTGCAGCTACAGAGAGAAAAAGTCAGAGCCACAGGAACTCCTTCAGTTGGATGGTTATACTGTGGATTACAGTGACCCTCAGCCAGGTGAGACAAACAGAGTAAACCTGTGGGCTCAGCAGGTGGAGAAGAACAACACAACAAAAATCATCAACTCTCCTGTTTGTTTTCTCTGTCACAGGCCTGGACGGTGGCCGGGCTTTCTTCAACGCAGTGAAGGAGGGCGACACTGTGATCTTTGCCAGTGATGACGAGCAGGACCGCATCTTGTGGGTCCAGGCCATGTACCGGGCCACTGGTCAGTCCCACAAGCCCGTACCACCAACTCAGGTCCAGAAACTTAACTCCAAAGGGGGCGCCTCAGCCCAAATGGACGCTCCCATTTCTCAGTTCTGTAAGTAGCCTCAGATCAACACGTTTGAACGCAGCATCCATCCACAAATCAGCGACAGCTCTGACCCATGAATGTCTCACACCATGCACTCCACACTCAAGTCACAAACTGTGCTGGTAGAACTAACACACGAGCACGCACACACACCAGCCTTGACGCCTCTCACAGATCCCTTCAGCATCTGACGGACCTCCACTCATTTTCACCAAACCCACAGTGTTTAAGGGGTGCGATTCCGAGCTAATAATCATCGGTCCCCTCCTCGAGGAGTTAACTAATCAGGGAAAGATTTGATCATTCAGCAGCGACATATTTGTCACAGAGAACAACTCACAAAAATAAATAGGCTCCAGAATGTATGGCTAGAAAATTTAAGCCTGCTGTTTTGATATTCAGACTGACAGTGCAACAGAGGGCGCTGTTGCTCTCCTCAGTCTAGGCCTGTTGTAATCTCCTCGCATCACTAGAGGGCAGCTGTGGAAGCAGTCGTGTGTCTCAGACTGTTCCTCAGCTTGTTCATCTTGAGTGATAACCAATCTGTCACTGTACTTCTGTACACCTCTGAGCAGCGCACAGATCATTTAGCAAAGTGAAGGTAAGACTGTCTGCAGCAGTGTGGCACGTGTGCCCACTTCTCTGTAACTGTCTCTCTGTGTCCTCGCTAAAAGGTTTTTCAAAGCAGCACCAGAAACCTAGGCAGCACTGGTCTTTGTAATAATCTGCATATTTTGTTATGACCGTATGTGTTTTTTTTTAAGACCAAAAAAATTAGCGAGTCTGTATTTGTGGCTAATTACATCGTCATCAAGTTACAGAAATGATCTAAAATGAATAGATCCTGCTATTCAGAACAAAACAAATTTGCCTATCAATAAGAATAACAATAATAATATTTGTTGTAAATGGTAAAATCGCAGATTAACTATATGAGCCACATGAATTGGGCCAGTAATTTAGCGTCTATAACAAATATTCTATGTTGTTTCTCCATTGGTTTCTTTGTCCAGTATGTGATCGTTCTTGTGGTTAGTTGACACCCCCGCCCCCTCCCCGTCCCTCTCCCCGATGCCAGCTGTTGCCATTCAAAGCCCTCTCACAGTGGCACAAACCTCAAACCTCCCCCTCCCTGAAACATTGTGGCACACCATGCGTACATGTTTCACCTCCCCCTAGTGGTCTTGAATGGCACTGGGACCATAACATACACAGCCCTCCTGACTCTGCTGCAGTGGACTGATGGGAAAACTAGAACGTATCTAAAGGTTCGGATCCATCCACGGAAACAATTTAACGACTGCACATCAGAATTTTTCTAAATGATATTCTATAATGATTTATTCTTTCATGGACAGAGCGTCATCGTTGCAGAGGCTGAGGTGTTGATTTTATATCTTTTTTTGTTTTATTATGTAAATATATGTCCCGGCTGACTCTCAGTGAATTACAGTATTTGGTTTTAAAAATTATGCTAATCCTTAGTGGGGTTTATATATAAATACAAAAAAATCCAGGACATTTACAAAACAAATTCCTAATTTAGAGTCCAACAAAGACACTTATTGTCCAGATTTTTTTTTTTTGTCAACCAATGGAGCAACTCCTGGTTTACATTTACTGCTGGGAGACGACGGTCGCTTCTAAAGTACAGTCTATACGTCAGATCTGTTAGTTCATGATCCAGGAGTCAAGAAGCTGCAGTGGAGTGATGAGGATCCTGAAAACTCTCTCTCTCTCTCTCTCTCTCTCTCTCTCTCTCTCTGTCTATCTCTATCTCTCTCTCTTCTCTTTCTAACGTGCCTCCACATCTGTTGTCGAGTCCACATATCCTCACTTGTACTCGCACACACCACCGCCCACAGACTGTCATGTTGGTATAGGCTGTTGTTTTTCAGTTGTGTTTTCTTCTTCATGCTTTGCCTGTACCCTTCTTCAGTAATGCAGCTGCTAGGTCAGGGTCTTTTCGTGATTGCTCTCCTTTAGCCTTGTTGCTAGTCTTTATGTTATTCTGGTTTGTCCCTTCTTACCCTGCTGTCTTCTAGCTGGACTCAAGGGTAAGTGCTTCCCTGTAGCCGGCACAGCTCAGATAATCCCCGCCGATTATCTGACAAATGCAACGTTCTTTCTCTCTTCTTTCCCCTCTTATCCTTTTCACGTCTCGCTTCATGTCTTAGATATTAGTTGATTTTTTTTTTCTTGTAACAACCTCTACTCAGTGATCAGAGTACACGCATCCATTCGAGCCAGTGTAGGATGCATGTATTTTATTCTAAGAACTTACTATATATAATTCAAAATGGGTAATCGCTGAAATTGAAGATATTACTGCATAATTGCCTTCTCTCTTTTTCCTGATACTGGAGGAGGTTCCTCAGAGTGAAGCAATGTGATCAGAAAACTAATCAATACATGAGGAAAAAAAAAAGTGGACGTGTCATGTGAGGAACAAACCGGTGTCTTAACTGCAGACAAAATCCAACTGGATGAAAATTGATGTGATTTTGTTTTTTTAAAATATAATCAGAAGAATAAAAAAGTGTTAGTGTGTCGATGGACGCGACAGTATTTCTGTTCAGACTTTTGATCAGGCTTTATGTCTGAGGCCTCAGTTCCTTTTTCATTTGAGCTCCATTGATGAGAGTTGGCAAATATGTATGTGGAGTATTCTGAATGCCAAAGTCAAGGAGTAGCCAATGCCGCCCCTTCTTAAAATAAAATACTCCGGACCCCCCCACCCCCACCCCCGTCCTCTCACAGTAGATGGGCTTGTAGAACGAGGCCCGGCCGGTCTTACACCTCCAGACAGGAGAAATCTCATTTTGATTTTTTTTTTTTTTGACTGCCCTTTGTTTGCCTGAATAGGAGAACACCTGTGTCATGTGTCCATACATCTCTGTAAAAATACAGGAGTTTCCATTCATTTCCCCATCTCCCAGAGAATGATACAGTTTTGCCTCCGTCAGCTTCATGCTATTTACCCATGTACTTGCACCAAATTGTATTGCTACCCTATTAGACTTCTCCAGTAGTGGTATGCCTGTTAGTGTGCGCTGTAGAGATCATGAATACACTGCAACATATCCACGTATTGTCAACTTGCAAATGCGTAAAAGTAAAAAAAAAAAAAAAAAAGGAATGCCAAAAAAAAACAACTGTAAATTTGAAAAAGAGTCTGCAGATGTGCATGACATTTGAGAGCTCAGTGAAAAGTCACAACCTTCTCTAGCATGTGATAATTTACATATGTATGCAAGATGACCCGTCTAATCACTCTGGTAATTTGGTTACTATGTTCATGAATGAAGTAATTACTGTCTTAAAGTGTATTCTGGAAATGAAGTTTTAAACCAGCAGAGGAGACATGGCCCACTCACTGTGTGTCACACACACACACACTGGTTTTTTTTTTCTCGCGTTCATTCTTTAGATGGTGCTCATCGACCCCCCCGCCACCCCCATCATCACTGCCTCTCTAACTCACCCCTGAGTGACTCCCTGCTTCCTTTCCTTTTCTTCCTCCACACTTCACCCCCAACATCTGTGACATCACTGTCTCTGCCCCTCAGAGTAAAAACTTATGACTGCCCCACACCACCCCCCAGCCACTCTCATTGACCCCGCCCCCCACTTTGTTTATAGACTGTACATGTGAACCGTCCCACTCTATAACTGTCTGTATTTGACCATTATCCTCAGATTTATCTATTTCCTCCATCCATGTTTACTTGTTGTCTAACATTCTGTGCTAAATGGATGAAAATACCAGTTATTGCCCACAGTGTAATCCCACCTTGCATTACCGTACACACTAACAAATACAAATATTTGTTTTATTCACTCTTGAACTCTGGCCCTGCCTCATCAACACCTGCCTCCCTGAACCCTCACCCGTCATCCTCACCCATGTCAGCGTGTCACACACACAAATGCGTCTTTTATTTGGACTCGTCCTCGTCATGGTAGCACGAAATTGAAATGAAAGTCGCTGTATTCCGTCACTTTGTTTCCATCACCCATCGTTAACGTTTATTTGTGGACAAATAATATAATAATATAATATCAAATCATATGTTTTTGTATTCTGGCTTGATTGAATTTTACAGTCAATCTTCACCTGTTAGCTAACGAGTTTGTTTATTTTTGCCTTCGGTTTTTTTGTTTTTTAAATTAATTAGACACATTTCTAAATTTTCCCAGGACTGAGTGAGTTTCCACTGTAGCGAATGGCAGAATCTATTAAACTTGAAAAAAAAAAAAAGAATAAAACGTGTGCATATAGTTTTGCCTTTGCAGTCATTTTGCACATTTACCACTTTGTTTAACTTAAACATCAGTGAATGGGACAGACTTAGACTTGTGCATGAACATACAGTCGAAGAACACGGTCTGGAGCTCAGTGCTCCGACTGACAGAACCTCATCTAACAGTACATAGAAATCTCTTTATGCTCTGACACAATGCAAGTTGACAATGTAAGCTGTAAGTGTTTATAATTTGCCCTTTAGACGTAGCCAACGACCCCTGGTGTTTGTGTGGTGCTGAGCACAGACCTGCTTGGCCTTGACCTCACTGAACTCTTCTCCTCTGAATCATGTGTTTTCCCCTGTGCTGTTGGCTGGATAGACGCTGACAGAGCTCAGAAACATGGCATGGATGAGTTTATCTCCGCTAACCCCTGTAGCTTTGACCACGCATCACTTTTTGAGATGGTGCAGCGACTCACGTTGGACCACAGGCTCAACGACACCTTCTGCTGCCTGGTGAGGTTCTCTTACGTCAACAGGATGTTTGACTTGGTCATTTACGGTTGTACCCACTCACCCCGCTGTGTTCTCTCTCCCCCCCCCTGCAGGGATGGTTCAGCCCAGGACAGGTGTTTGTCCTGGACGAGTACTGTGCCAGGAATGGGGTTCGAGGCTGTCACAGACATCTGTGTTACCTGCGCGATCTGCTGGAAAGAGGGGAGAGTGGGGCAATCATTGACCCCACCCTGCTTCACTACAGCTTCGCTTTCTGTGCCTCCCATGTCCATGGGAACAGGTGTGCCCCCCCCCCCCCCCCCCCCCCCCACCTTTAACCTATCTACTGTAAATACTATAGAGCAGAAGAGACAAAACCTGAAACAAACAAAGTTGGTTCACAGTATATAAGGGCAATAAAACCAAAGTCTGGTTTTGGTTAACTGTTTTGGAAAAAAAATCAAAACAAATATATGTATTTAGCAAAATCTAAATTAAAAGCTTCACCATGTTCTAAATTTTTATATTTATGTATTGATCTATATATTAGTCTACACTGGACGTGAACAAATAAAATCTCAGAGAGATGTCACTCATCAGGAACATCCTTTTATGTCATATTTATTCACATTTAATTTCTGTTATGTCACTGTTTATATTTTCTATATATTGTGTTACTTTTTGTTGTTAATCACTTGCATATGTCTATGTATTTCTTTGTTTTCTATTCCTTTTCTCTTGTTTTCTTTTCCTTTTTTTTCTTTTCTGTCCCTTGTTGCCATAAAGTCTCTTACTGTCCATATTATTCATCCTCCCATGCGTCTGTTAAAGTCAGAGAGGGCACCAGTTACTGGGGTCCACTGGGCTATGAGCCCCTCGTTACCCCACTGAGCTCCCAAAGCCCAGACCCCAGCGCTTCCTCTAAACGAGGTCGCATTTTCAAGTTTAGAAAAAGAAAGGATTCCAAAATCCCACTCTTTCAAGAGCAAAAGAGGTGAGAAACACAGAAACACCGAAAAAATGTAACTCCAGAGTCAGATCTCACACACTGTAAAGTCAGAGCGTAGGGAGATGGTTGAAAAACACATCTAGACTTTTAGTCTTTTTTTTTTTTCATTCTTCTGTTGTGGCTTCTGTTTAAATCATTTAAACTAGGGATGTCCGATAATATCAGCCCACCGATATTAGCATAATTACGTAGTATCTGTAAGAATCGTTATTGTTTTTTTTCTCCGAAAATGAAAACCTGATAACGCTATGCCTGGGTTTCGCCCCGACGACAGACCAATCAGAGGCCACCGTGCTACGAAGATCTTTAATTGAAACACAACTTCAGTAACTCGTTTCCTTTATTGCTCTCAACCGAGCTTCTCTAAAAACGGCGTAACTGTTAACTCCTTCATAACACAGGAAAAGAATGATATCAACGATAAACAAGCCTCTAGTCACTAGATGGCAGCATTCTAACTCATTCTAACTTAGTGAGCAGGTGGTGCTTAACCTTAGGTACAGCAGAAAATAATTAAGAAACACTGCTTTAACCCATCACCTTAGTGAGCAGGTGGTGCTTAACCTTAACCACCTTGATATTGGAATCAGAAAATAAGTTTGGACAATATCCGCATATCAGGTATCGGTAAAAAGTTAATATCGGACATCCCTAATTTAAAGTGAACATGGTGAGAGTTTCATCCACGTTAACGTCTCTGGTTGTGACCCTCATCCAGGCCCGACGGGCTGAGCACAGTGAAAGTGGACGAGAAGGAACGCTTTGAGGAAATCAAGGAGCGGTTGCGTGTGTTGCTGGAAAATCAGATTGTAAATTTCAGGTGATTATTGAACCACAGAACAGAATCATCCAGCTGAAATTATTTAAATTCTTTCCCTCTGGTTTTTCATGGTCTTTCCGTCTTCCTCTCTAGATATTGTTTCCCCTTCGGTCGCCCAGAAGGTGCTTTGAAGGCCACGCTGTCTCTGCTGGAGAGGGTTTGTATTCTTAAAGCGAAACCCCACAATAGAGAACAATTGTAATAATCCAGAAAAATATATAAGCGGTAAAATTCTACTTTGAAATGTCTGTTTTTAAAAGGTCCTGATGAAAGATATCGTGACTCCAGTTCCTCCAGAAGAAGTTAAAGGAGTGATCCGCAAATGTCTGGAGCAGGCCGCTCAGCTCAACTACCAGCGCATCACAGAATACGCTAAAATTGAAGGTAAACAAAAACCCAGCATCACTCAGTGACTGATGGCACAAACACCTTTCTGATGATATGATACTAATGAACTAACTTTGATTTTGTTTGAAAGGCTAAGGCACAGGTTCTGTGTGAAAGCAAAACTGGAAAAAAAAAAGTTTTAAATCCATATCTGCCCCCTCTGCACTGTTGTTTATGAATAGGCAGTGAAATCCTGTGCTTCTATACATTGCATTTCTATGTGTCCATATCCCCAGGTGACTTGCAGCTTCCCAGGTTATCCCTGGCGTTCCTCGTCTCAGTCCGATAACGCTCTCCTTTGTTTCAGGGCGTCTTTAGCGCTGTGCTGTGTTGTAGCTCCAGGTGGCTTTTGTGTAGAAGTGTGTGAGTAAAAATGCATTCAAATCCAAAATCCTGAAATCTTTTTCTGCGCTGATCTCCGATTGTACCCGGACTTTTACCACACTGACTCCAGTCGATGCTCACCCCCCACCACTACCCGCCCCCCGCAGCTGTCTCCTCTCTGGTTCCTCCAGCTGATGCTGCCTGTGCCCCTCAACAACCCCTACCTCCCCCTTCCCCCACTCCCCTCTGCCATGATTTACTAGCAGCTCCTCCCCCACCTCTGTCTTTTGTTCTTATTTTAGACCCCCCCCCTTCTCCCTCCCCTCCTGTCCCCTGTATGCTCGGCTTCTCCCTGTCCCTGCTCACAGTGGTTGGCTTTGCCACAGACATCACCTTGGACAACGACCTCACTGCAAAGTTCATTGCTAGAAAAGTTGGACAACTACCTGAAACTGCATTACAGGAGTAAACTGTGTAGTTACTGTGGTTAACTGGTCATATTTGACAGGCGTGTTAACAACAGCTGATCTGGGGTCTGATCTGTTTGTTTCACATGTACAGTTGGTGCCTGTGACACGCTAGAAACTCGCTGCACACCGCAAACAACAATTGGAAATATTTGGCTGTTCGACCAACTTTAAAATACACTCTGCCCTGTTTAGATAAGCACTGTAAAAAATAGTGGAGAATTTATTCCTACGTATTTATCCCAATAAATCCCACTGGTACCATTGAAGTCCAGTTCACGAACCATACAGAGACACTGGTCTCCTTCTGGATTCATGGCTGTTTGGCTCCTTTCGTTTTATTATTATTATTCCAATATTCTGCCGAGAATCTAATTCTGACCCACACCACAAGAGGGAGCCCAAGTACCACCAGTGGGTACTCGTGCCATAGTTTGAGAGCTACAGTTCTAGGAGAGTCTTCACCAAGGACATTAACTAGTAAAATGTTGTGAATACAAAGACACATCAGCTGAAACCGTTTGAAGAAATATTACAAATATTACATCAACCAACCCCCCTAAAAAAATATATTTTCAAGCGAATATGAAGAAAAATAACCCTAACAATGACCTCTGATCTTAAGGTCAGAACTTCTACCTGCCAGACTAGAGCTATAGCCGATCCCAGCAGCCACCAGGCCAGATTGATTGTCAAACGATCTGATTTCTGCCTCAGTCCTGTTTTTACCGCCTGTTTAGAAAGTGAACCAACTTTTCTGCTACTGGAGTTTGTATGTGATGAGTGTCTTACTACCTGGTGTTGAACCAGCATCAAACACCTGCATGTGCTTTAACAAAGTACCTTCATGAGGAAGGTACGAGAGAACTCCCCCACCCTCACCCTCACCCCCCTCCCCCAGGGTGACGAAGATACTAAGGATCTGAACCTTACTATCTTATCGCTCGCTGTCCTTGTGAGGAACCTGCTGCTACAGTATTCCAACATAGTACTAAGGTACTGGGCCATAGTACTAAAGTACTGGGCCATAGTACCACTCACACCTGGACAGCACTCTCCTCCCATCAGCCTCTGACCTCTGACCTACCCACCTCTGACCCCAGCCTCTTGCATGCCCCGATCCTTTCTTATAGGGAAAAGGAGGGAAATGTATGAGCACCCTGTCTTCTGCTTGGCGTCTCAAGTGATGGATTTAACCATCCGTGAGTACCTTCATCCTCCTCCTCCTCCTCCTCTTCCTCCTCCTCCCTGGTCTCCTTCTACATGTCCTCGCACTCCGCACCGCCCCCTGCTGCCTGTCCTCTTCTGCCCCCCTCAGAGATGTTGCTCCTGCCATGCTTGCTGTTCTCTGTGCCTTTTGTCTGTCGGAGTGAGTGGGGAAAGATCTGAGCAGTACCACGCTGAATCAGTCGGAACTGTTTTTTTAATTTAATTATTATTTTAGTAATCACCTGTTCGTGATGGGCGTGAATGAGCAGTCTGGTCTGTTAGCTTCTTCATTTTGGTTGGATGCCTATTACTTTGACTTGAATGCATTTTTACATTGCTTACATTGTTATTTCCTCCAGCCATGTCTGGTCTGGTCATGTCTCAGTGGTGTGCTGCACCCAACAGGTAGGCTTTGTTTTTCTTCTGCCACACCAGTGATAGTCCAGTCCCTCAGAGCAGGGTAGAGTATGTGAAGTCAACAGGTCCAGTCACTGCGTGTGTCTGTGTGTGTTGACGACCCTGTCCTACGTGTCCACAGTGGTCCGAGCTTTTTTTTTCGTCTGTTAACAAACATTGTATTACAGTTTTGATTTGTCCGTTTGCCACAGGGTGACGTTTCACTTGTGTGTTTTTGTTTATTTATTTCTGAATGTGCGTTTGTGACGTTTGTCTTGTCGCCTAGAGAAAACCTCCGTCCTCCCGGCAGACATTTTAAAGGGTGCCGCGGTTTTCGGCGACGCCTCTGTGCTTTTCCCCTGAGCATAACGTAGAACGCTGCTGATTCTAAAAGTCTGCTCTTTATCTCTTCTCTCCTGTTCTCTGGCTGAAGTTGAGAAAGGTCAAAAGGATCAGAAGGATCCAGGTGAACTTGGGCCTCAGCCCCAGTGCACACATTTATACTGCACACGCACACAGGAATGGAACCCCCAACCCTTTTCACACTCTTCATACACTTTGCCAGCAAAACAAATGCATGTGCACATGTAACCTGACCTGTAGCAAACTTGTTTTGCCACACAGTATATGTTACTGTTGCTCTGTATATAAAGTGAATACAGTGGAGATTGTATGACTTTATATCAGCCCTGATCTGACATCGTACAGTTACGGTGGTTTGGAAGATGAATGTTTTCATTTCCAGTCAATCTAACAATCATTCACCAGAATCTCCAGAATTATATATATTTATATATATGTTATATTATATATATCTTCATTTGGCTGTAAAATGCACAAAGAACTGCAGTTTTGCAGGAGAAAATATATAGTAATACAATCTCTGCGTGTTTGAAGTATATTTCAGAATCAGAATATTTATTGCTGAGTACAAACAAAGAACAGAATTTTTTAAATATAAAAAAGTATAAACGTAGATAAAGACAAAATATATTTGTAAATTATTTATAAACGGCTAATGCTAATGTAATGTTATCTGTATTATGGGCTGGATAATAATCAGTTTTGTACGTGAGGGGTCAGGACGTGGCCGTCGTTTGTGACGCAGACATCAAAGCAAAATATAAAAATATATCTAAAATATAAATATAGTATTTGGGGAGAAAAACATTTTATTTTAAATAATCTCCAGATTAGACCTCCAACAGGCACTGAGTATAAAAGTATTAGCACTCATCATTAATCATTACTAATTATCAAAAGAAAAACAATATCATATTTTACAGCGTGAGACCAAACCGCCCTCTGTTGGAACAGCACGGTACTGCTTTTTGCCCTGGACTTTCTGGTCCAGTGATGCTGGTGAGGCTGCACCGCCCACACCAAAACATGAAACATGTTATTTCCAGTCTGCGCAAAAACCAGAACAGGAAGCTGCGACCACAGGATATACAGTTACTGTAACACAAATCTGTCTTCAGCGTCCATTAGCGTCCGTTCCATGTCCCCAAAGACAACGGCAAAAGAATCATAAGACGTCTCATGTCACCCTATACTTTACACAGGAAGTGGTGGTGTAGCGTGTAGCGTCTGATCAGCGTTTCTTCATCGCAGTCACACAACGATAAACGACACCCAGCAAAACTGCAGTATTACTCAGAATACGTGTTTTATGTACAGTGGTGTATTCATGTGCAGATTCTTTTTTTTTTATTTCTGATTTGTGTAGCCATTTGGTTCCGTGTACAAGCTGCACACATGCCATTTCACCAAGCTGTGCACAAAATGTTATTTCGTGACGTGTAACTGTCTGAGATTGTTCTTAAAGCCAAAAAAAAAAAAGATTTTGGAAAATGAGGTTGGAAAAAGGAAACAAACATAAACAGATTAATGCACAAATAGTCACTGGCAGATAAAACACTGTCACACTGTAAAAATAATCATTGTTATAATTAATAATAATTTTCTATAAAATTAAGAACTCAGATTTTACAGTCAGGATTTTAATTATTGTATCAAAACATGTATTTAAATTATTGGAATTTTTTTTCCCTACGTTATTTAGGAACATTTTCTTGTTTTTTACCAGAGTCTGTAATATAAAAAATGTATAGAATATGAAGTAATCAGAGCCTGAGATATGTAATAACTGCAGTAACAGTTTCATTCTATCAAATGAAATATTTTCACAGTGTGACTTCACTGATTCTGTTGGTTTGGTTTTCACCACTGCATGCAGCAGCACCTACACACACACACATATACATACACACACACACGGCTTGTTCACTATCACATCCCTTTATGCATGTTCTGATGCCACGTCTCCTCTCCATCCCAGAACCACCGTTACCTACAGTCACATCCATTCTCCTGCAGCCTTTAAATGCACTGAAACGCCAACACTGCTGTTTGACCTATTTAAGGGTGGGGGTGGGTGGGCTGTGGTGCATAACAACAAACATCACAGTGTAAGTGCTGTGTTTGTACTTTTTGATGATGAAGCGGTCAAACACAGACAGACAAACTCATCTTAAAGACCTTCTCTGTGCTTGACTAACCACTCATCCCTCACCCTCATCCTTTTGTCTCAGAGAACGTAGGCCGCTTAGTCACGCCTGCCAAAAAGCTGGAGGAAACAATTCGCCTGGCGGAGTTAGTCATAGAGGTCCTCCAGCAGAACCAGGAACACCACGCGGAGGTGAGTGAGAACCGTCTCCTCCTCCTTCTCCTCTCCTCTCCTCCCTTTAAAACACTCTCCCTCTATACTCTCACTTATATCACTCCACCCCCTCCTCCCCGCCGCCCCTCCCAACAGGGAGTTAGTCTTGTTATCAGTCGTCTATAAATAAGTACATTTGAAACAGACAGCAAATAAATGTCACGTGACCAGGTGGTCGCTCGTCTGCTCTCGCTTCAGAGCTCAGTGAAACGAGATGTCGTTTCAGTGTAGTCCAACATTAATGGAAGGTGAGAAGAAAAACACAACACAGGACCGTGAAACGGAATGGAATGTGTTGCTGTAAATATCGTGCTGTAATATGTGATAAAGACTTGAAATCACGATCGTAGGATGGAGGATAAAAATATAAAAACAGACAAATGTTTGTTTTTTTTTTTAAATAGAACTGGAAAATAACTGTAAAAAAACGAGAGCCTGAAGTCGGACACAAACGTCCAGTGTTTACTTCTACTGGTAAAACTGTAATGCTGTAAATTCACCACCAGGGGTTCTAGAATCCATCCTTTAGTTGAAACCGTATACTGTATATAATGTTACTGTTCTGTTTGAAACACTTTTCCATAAAAATGCCGTGAAATCTTAAATCTGTATAAAACAAAAAAACTGCTCAGTGACAGAGGCTAAAAACTGCTTTGGTTGAAAGATGATTGACAGGTCAAACATGTCGACTGGAGGATGACTGTAAACAAACATCAGGTGTGTGCAGACGAGGCACTGGGTTTTTTAAGGTGACCTCAGTTGGTAACTTCCTACTTTACTGCTAACATGGCTAATGCTGCTAATGCTAATACAACACAAAGACTCCGGGCTGGATCACTACCAAAAAATTAAATGATTTTATGAGGGGTCACCACAGCAGGACTCCACCTGGTGGTGTGGCAGAGGTTTAACACCGGTTGTCTCCTGGACGTAATGTAAAAATTAAGAATATCGTAGAAATCTTTGTCCGTGACCTTTTATAGCCCTGAAGCATAATTCTGTGCTGAGAATATAAAGTATAATTTAGGTGTTTAGTGATGAGTCTCTATTTAAGTGGTATTAATAACAGATTTGAGTTTTTAATGATTTTGATTTGATTTTTGTTTTTCTGGGAATGAAGTTTTTAGAATGTTAAAAAATACATTATTTTAGGATTCTGAGAAATTCAGAAGTTTAAGTCCAGATGATGGAAACCCTGATGATTGTAGCTGTGTAGACATGACGGTGATCCACTGTGATCCACTGTGATCTCAGAAGGAACACCAAGCAGATTTATTATTTATCTCTCTGAATATGCTTGACAGGCGGCAGTCACAAGTTCTGGAGATCAATCGGTACAGTATTTGGATTTTTTATTTATCCTCTTCAGTCCCCATCACGACCCCCCTGTTTGGCATGTGCGCCACAAAGGCACCTTTATAGGCAGAGAATGAACTCATTGTTGTTAGATCATGGTAAAGTGGGTGGGGCTGATCAGACCTAGACTAAAAAAAAATGGATTTTTTTTTTATATATATGTATAAATGAAGGCTCAGTAGCTTGCACAACATAACTTTGACCATGACGCATGTCCATCCAGCCATACAGAGGTTTCCTCTCTCTCCAAGCATGCTGAACCAGTACCAGTACCAAAGTATGCTCCATGTGAACCTTTTTGAAGTTTGATTCTCCATGAACATTTGTTTCTCTCCCCATCCACAACGATTACTTTCACGGTCTTTCAGAACATCCCTGCCCCGGCTTTTCCTCCTCCATCCTTCTCTGCTGTCAACTGTTAGTTTTCTAAACAAATGATGTTCACCACAAATACATTATTGTTTTGTACATTTTTCTTTGTTTTTTACTGTTAAATACTTGGTGACTGTGCAGCAGGGGAAAGAGGTACGTAGAGTCCAGATGAATGACAGACTGCTGTAGAATGTGCATGTCCAGTAGGGAGCGCCACCTTGACACAGCACTGTAGTCTGTAACTGGCTGAACACAGAGTGCGCTGTAGGGCACTTAAGATCCTGAATAGACGGAGCTGAACCACTTTTCTAGCTGAGAGGCTGCACTGCCTGGTGACCTTTGAGCATTTCTTTTCCCCCTTTTACACCCGTTGAAGCCCTGGACAGTCCCCCCCTCCCTGTCCCTCGTCCCCCTCAGAGCTCTCCTGTCTGTTGTCTCCGTCTCTGACTGTGACGGAGAACAGTTTTCTGTTTGCTGCATGTTTGTCTTAATCCACAACTGTCCAGCTTTTTAAATGTTGGGAGCTGACAGGTGAGTCCACAGGTGAGTACGGTTTGAAAAAGACGAAAGAAAATGAGCGCAGACCCTAATTTAAGAAAAAAAAAAAAGAAAAAAAAAGCATGCAGCGCAATATTTATACATTAAGCTTTTTTTTTTTTTTTTTTTTTTTTTATTAAACTTGGCAACCTGTTAGGCTGAATGTGAAGCAGATAAGTCAAGCCCAGACTGCCAGCAAAGCAACTGCAGGAAAGTCCTGACGGTGCTGGAAAACATCCAGCTGAATCTCAAAGACTCACTTTAACTAATTGGAAGAGACTCAGTCCAACACCAGAGACGCTGCTGCTGCAGTCTTCGCTGCGTGCTGAGCTGAGGGAGATGTGCATGAGTCACACACACACAAACACACACACATCAGGCTGTGATGCAAATTCTAGACGCCCTCACCTCATACTGTGAGAGGGGAGCATGCAGGGCGCGCTGCACTTGCATGAGAACGGCAAACTGACAGAAACTGCCACGGGTGAAGCCAGGGCCACTGAGTGACTCTGCTGCTGCTGCTGATGCTGATGCTGCTGATGCTGCTGATGCTGCTGCTTTTAATCCATCCTACCTTTAAGTCCTAATCAATACAAGCTGTGGATTTCAGGTCAGAGTATGTGATGGAGAACACACACATGCATGACCATGAAACACACACACATTAAACTCCTTCCCCTCCCTTCACCTCCGTACCTCTTTCCTCCTGCTGTATCTTCAGGCCTTCGCGTGGTGGACGGACCTGATGGTGGAACATGCAGAGAACTTCCTGGCCTTCTACGCTGTGGACATGGACGCCGCCCTGGAGATCCAATCACCCGAGAGCTGGGACAGCTTCCCTCTCTTCCAGCTTCTCAACGACTTCCTGCGTTCAGACTGTGAGCTCCTGAATCCGTCCCATCATCCTCTCTGGTGTTTTTCCCTGCGGTGACATGAATCTCAATATTGTTGTCTCGCTCTTCTGCTTTATCTGCAGTTCACCTGTGCAACGGAAAGTTCCACAAACACCTGCAGGATCTGTACGCACCTCTGGTGGTTAGATATGTGGATCTGATGGAATCCTCCATCGCACAGTCAATTCACAAGGGCTTTGACCGAGAATCCTGGGAGCCTGTAAAGTAAGAAGTGTCCGCCTTCGTAGCCAGGCTGCAGGAAGCCCTAAAAGTACAATGTGTATTAATAGTCAGGTGACAGAGTGACCACATGTGGTCGCACAGCTGCTCTGACCCACCGTCACTTCTAGTTCAACAAATCTTGAAACGTATTTATTAGTTGTTCCTGTTTTTTGTTTTGTTTTTTTGACTAAATAGCCTTTTTTTAGATAATGTCTGAGTCACAACAGTTTCTCTCCCACACACTGGGCTCTGGGCCACGGCTAATGTTTCTGTTGTTTTGTGAACTGACCTTCATAATGTGTGCTTGGACAATAGGCCTCCAGTCTGTTCTGTTGCTGTTTTTTGTGGCTTTCACACGTTTTCATTTTCATTTAATTTATTGCGAAAAGTGAATTTATAAATATATACATATGTGTGTGTGTGTTTTAGAAAAAGATAAGACATAATGGTGACATTAATGTTTCTTTTTTCTGTTCCTTCAGTTTTTCGTTGCGTTCTCCTCCACCTCATTGATCAGAGTATTTATCCGTGTGCATCCTTTACTCTGCATTTCTGTCTGGACCTGATTTAAGATTTTTACGTTACTTCTCTGATGTGTGTGACATGGCTTTCTGCAGCTCCCACTCCACTGTTATGGATATTTTTTTCTTTTTTGTCTGTCTTCTCTACAGGAGTTTAACAAGTAATCTTCCCAATGTGAATCTGCCAAATGTCAACCTCCAAATTCCCAAAGTACCAAATCTGCCAGTGCCAGTAGCAGGACTATCAGTTAACCTTCCACAAATGCCTAGCTTTTCTACCCCTTCATGGATGGCTGCTATATATGACTCTGAGTGTGTATTCAACTAGTTTACTTTAGAAATGATTCAAGTAGCAGAAGCTGCCTTGGTACGAAGATGTCATAAAAAAAAAAGTCTGATTTCAATAAAACTTTTTCTGCTTTCTGCAGTGAAAAAACTTGTTTAAAAAAAAAAACTAAAAAAAATTCTATCTCCTGAGTGAACGCTGTCCATGTTCATGCCAAAGGCACTCTGAGAGGTGTTAGAGTAGACTGGGGTTCTGCTTTATTGAAATGAGAAGATGAAACACTCTCATTTGTCTTAGCATGCATGCTTTTGGGCTGAGGTGTGGAGATACAGGCCAAAACAAAACAAAAACAAAACAAAAACACGATCCCTGCTCTAGAAAACCATGAATCTCCTCTGACTTGTCGTCCACAAACTTTTGCCCCGGTGATTTTTCTTTTTTTAGCAACCGTAAACTGAACAAGGTTTAAAGTTAATCACTGACCTTGACTTTCTGACTGAGGAGCAGAGAGTGAGCTGAAGGGAAGAGGACGATAACTCTATGGAGAGGCCCGGTCTTCTGCATTCAGACCCGTCCGCTCCATTATTTTATCCCGTTCCTTTGACGCTCCGTCTCCAAAATCTGATGCAGTCAGACGGCCCACAAAGGTCTGCATGGTTTGTTTTTTGGGTGATTCTTCCAGGGCCCGCCCCCCCAACCAGCCTGGGGACATGAGTAATGAGAGAGGGCCTGTGATTTTGAGGAGTGAAATTAATTTGACCATTTTTATGTATTTATTTTTTTACTCTGTAGAAAAAGGACTGGGACCATAAACGGGACCATTTCTTCACACGCCCTCCCTCGCTCCTCCATTCCCATCTCCTCCCTCTGTCTTGACACGGTGTGATTAGCTGCTGTAGCCGCAGTGACATCGCCTGCATGTGGCCACTTCACATCCTGGTCAATAATCATACTACGCAGCATGGTTATTGATTTGTTCCAGTAAACCCTGTCCACCCATACACTGACCGTCCAGAAACAAACCTTTCTACAGACCGGTCAGTTTATGGTCCAACTGAACTGTGTTGACATGTAGAGGAACAGCATCCTCCTCTG